TCATCCTGATTGGTTGGGAGTCTTGGTCTGTGTTTATTGGTCTTGGAATTTGCTGTGTTCTGCTTGATTGGTGTTTCTAATATCTTCTGTCTGTTCTGTGGCTTTTTTTGTCTTGGTTGGCTGGCAACATTGTGTTCCTGTATTGGAGGCTTTTAGTGCAGCTTGGCTCCAAGTAAATGGATGGCTATCATTTATTAGGAAGCTAGGTTTCATCTGGGTGCCTGGTTGGATTGTGTTTGAGCTGGAGGTATCAGGGGGGATCTGTTTGTGCCCAGGTGTTTGCCTGGGTTATGGTGTGGAGATTTTTTTGTTTGTGAGTGCTGGCTTCCAAATAATTGACAGTCTGGTGGAATCATCTCTTCAATTCATGCTTTCAGGTCTTTTTTCAATCTCTATGGCTTCTCTGATAATTCTGTGGCTGGGGTTTTCTATAGTGGCTAGATTTGGTGCCATTGAAGTCGATGCTATGATCTGTGGCTTTCATGTGTTGGACTAGTGAGGAAGTGTGTTCCAGCTTTTTTACTGCATTTTTGTGTTCATCCAGACGGGTACTTATTCTTCTATTGGTGTGTCCAATGTATGTGGCAGGGCATGATGCGCAGGGGACTTCATATATGCCTTGGTTTTCCAGGTCAATTTTATCTTTGGGGTTTCTTAGGATGACTGCTATATTTCTGTCTGTTTTGAAGGCAGTCTTGATGTGATGCCTGTGTAGTATCTTACTGATTTTGTCTGTAGTACCTCTATGTAGGGCAGGACAGCTGTTCCATAGGTCTGTTCATCTTCTAGGTCTCCATTATGTCTCAGTGTGTTTTTGTGGACCAGGCCTGTGATTTTGCTTTTGTGGAAGCCATTGGCTGTCAGTACTTTAGTCAGGGTGCATAGTTCAGTCTTTATGTTGTCTTGTCTGCCAGGCGTTTGGTTCTGGCAATTAGTGTTTTGGCCACGGAGTTTATCTGTGCTGGGTGGTGGTGGGATTGGGCGTTGAGGTAGTGGTTGGTGTGTGTTTTCTTCTGATATATGGTGTGTCCTAGTGTGCCATCTGTTTTTTTGTAGACTAGTACATCTAGGAATGGTAGTTGTTTGTTTCCATTGCCATGGTGAATTTGATTTTTGGGTGTGTGCTGTTTAGGTGTGTTAGGAAATCATTTAGGTTTTCTTTTCCATGGGGCCAAATAATAAATGTGTCATCGATGTATCTTAGCCATAGTTTGGGTTTGTGGGTGGCATTGGCTAGGGCTCTGGATTTGAATTCTTCCATGAATAGAACATGAATACCAACCACCCAAATACCTCATGGAACTAGCAGAACACTGCTTAACTGACACATATTTCATATACAAAGGACAAAGATACAAGCAAATTGAAGGAGCCCCTATGGGATCACCACTGTCACCCGTCATTGCAAACCTGTTCATGGAAGAATTCGAATCCAGAGCATCACATCAAGACTGCCTTCAAAACAGACAGAAATATAGCAGCCATGTCCGACTCTTTACACCACCATGGACCATAGCATGCCAGAATCCTCTGCCCCCCGCCCCACTGTCTCCCAGAGTTTGCCCTTATTCATGCCATTGCATCAATGACACTATCTAATCATCTCATCCTCTGCGGTGCCCCTACTGGAATAATATACCAGCTGTAAATCTTAGCAATTTTAATAAATTTAATATTCACTGTGTATTTTACAATATTTTTCTTCATCAAAATTCCTTTGTTGCACAACAGTTCTTGAATCTAAATTCAGCACCCGTTTAATTTAATCTTAGTCAGTTTCTAGTTCATATTTCACCATTATCATACAGTTTTGTGATGAAAAGCATTTACAATAAATGTTGACTTCTTGTTCTTTATTAAATAATTTTGGACCATAATTCATCTTCCTCAGAGTTGTTAAGCATGGAAGACGATTCCAGATTATCAAAAGCTTAAACTGAATCAAGAAAGAATATAGTTGCCCTCTCATTTTATCAATAACATTCAAGATACAGCTGATATTGCTTGTCATATATTTCTCTGGGACAACTCCAGTCTGACCAGAAAGTATTAATTCAGTTTTTAAAAAATCCTCTTTTTGCAAGTATTGTAGTCTGTATTCATTAATGAAGTTTGTCTATACGATTCTGAATAGTTGTCATTTTCTTTCCTTGTAGATCAGAGAAATGAAAGCTTCTTTCCATAACATAGGGAGTTCTTGACTTCATTAATTACCTAGGATAGTGATCTAATCAACATTTCTTGGAAACACTTGTAGTATATTGTGGAGATGTCATCAAATCTGGGAGATTTATTTAATTTGTTTTCTGATTAGTAGTTTTGTTTGGTTACATGTTAAGAATTTCACTTCTGTTGATCTATAAACGTTAATATTATATTTCCTTAATTTTTCTGGATCAAATCTGTTTACTATATAGACTTGAATTATATTTAACAAATTGCTCCATCATATCCTTGTCTAGTTTGCATTTCTAATTCAGTACCAAATAGAAGTAATAATTCTTTGGTTTTGTTCATTTCACAGTTGGCAAATCAACATTTTGTTTGATTAGGTGCCTTTTTCAAAATATTTAGGTTTGATAAAATTCAAGTAGGATTCATATATTAAGGTACTCATTTCTTCCATTAGAGCTAGTTAATTATGAATTGTTTTAATCTTTTATACTAAATTCAAATTTGGGTTATAGTTGTGATTTATTTGCTTTAAATTCATTTACCGTAACAATAGATGCTGTTATTGCAAAAAAAAAAAAAAAATTGCTTGATACTGAGAGATAAAGTTTTTTTAAAAATTATTTAGTAGACTCCCTATGCAGAAGATAATAAAGAATCTTAAACTTATTTTGAAGAAACTTGATTCCTCTTGGCATTTCAATTTGAAATCATTTTGTAATAATAAAAGTTTAAGTGTCTAACTTTTATTCTGGAGGGTCTTCTATTTAATCTTACAATTATTGTGTTTTTTATATATGTAGGCCTATAACTTCTTGTCTAGGAGACTAATCAGTTAATAATCAAGCACATATTGATTCTAAAGTAAGTTTATGAATTGAAGACTAGGAGGTGTATTTTTATCCATTATTTATTCATTTATTTATATTCCACCTTTATTTTCATAAATTACTAAAAGTGTGAGCATACTCCACACACCTTTCTCCTATTTTCCCCTCAATAACTCTGTGAAGTCTATTTGTATTTCTATAAATTGAAAAGAGATAATAGTGGTATATTCTTCATATTTTGATGCAAATATTTAGATAAAGCAGGTGTGTCTATGGAAGAAAAAAAATGTTTCCCTCTGCAATTTCAAAAATTTACTGGCAGTTAAATTTTGTGAAGTGTGCCTGATGTTTCAGATCTTAATAAATTTTGAAATTGTTTTAGGCAATACTCAACTGGCATTGCAAATCATCAAAAGAAACCAGCTTCTCCCTTCAGTGAAAATGCTCTCTGAAATACGAAAGAAACCTGTATTCCAACCTCCCCACTTGGTTCAACCTATTCAGATGCCAACATTCACCACTGTTCAAAGGAAGTGAATAAATAGAATGGCCCTTTTGAGGGAGCACTTAAGATTTGTTTTATGACTTTGAAAAACTGTTATATATATCATATATCATACATTAAGGTGTTTTTTTTCCATTTTAAAATAAAATCTATAGAAAGACTTAAGACTCATTTTATTTTATTCAAGTTCGTTACTTATGATGTATATTGGTACTTTCCCTATGAATATATTTTATTAGTTCAAAATGGTATGACATTTTTGCATTGCTCCCAAGAAAACTGCTTGGATTTTTTTGTGAAAGAATTAAGTTTAATTTGAGGGAGCCATTGCACAACTGAAACAAGTATAGTTATATTACAGTAAAGATAGCCCTCAACTTACAACCACAATTGGGATTTGATTTTTGGTTACTAAATAATGCAGTCATTGGGTCATTACATGATCAAACCCAATTTTATGACCATCTTTACTCTGGTCATTAAGAGCATCATGTGTAAATCTGGCTTCCCCAATTGATATTACTTGTCAAGCTAGCTAGGAAGGTCATATATAGCAATAATGTGATTGAAAAATGTTGTAACTGATGTAAGTGTGAGCCAGTTGCGAAGCACCTGAATTGTGATCATATAACTCTGTGGATGGTGCAACAATTATGACTTTAAAAATGGATCACGTTTTGCAAGGCCATCATAACTTTGCACCATTGTTAATTGAACAGTCTTAAATGTAGGGCTACTTATATGGCAGCAACTCCCTGAAAATGAGTTTGTCTTTTGGTGACTGGCATGTAAAAATAACTTTTAATAAAGCCAAAGTTTGGCACTATTAAAATTAACTTGGGAGTTTGCAAAAAAAAATTGTTTCATTGTATTGGATCTATCCTTGTCAGAATGAATCTTCTGCCATGTTTATCAGTAAAAATCAGCAGAAATAGCATTCTTGAATCATCTCAGAATCATAGGAAATCTAAATGCCCTGCTGGTTCATGAAAACAACTTTTGAGCATACTAAAATGTTGCCCAAGACAGGGAACTTTGTTAATTGCTTAGGTTAAAAATGAGAAGAAAACAGCAACAGCTACAGAAGTGCTAAGTCGACTAGGCACAAGGGTTGTAAGAGAAAAACATATTAGTCTTATCCTACCAGTCCATAAAGTGGCAGGGTCTCCTTCACCCAAAATCTAGAACTACAGCTGAGCCAAAATGGTTTGGCAAAACTTCCAGAACGTGATAGTTTATTCCAGAAATAAAACAGAACATTTTCTATTTCATGCAAGCCTCTAACTGATCTGTTGACATTCATTCAAACATACAATTTTTGACTGTTGTCAAAACTTTGAATATGCTACTGATGGTACTTAAGCACATACTTCTTTGACTATAAGAAGCAAATATTCATCACTTTGTTTTTACAACATCATGTAATTGCAGCTTCACAGTAGAGGTAATTAAAATTAAATTTAAAAAAGCTGTAATTTGTTAAGTTACATATTCATATAATGTAATATATGAATAAAAGCATTAATAGGGAAAGAAACAGGTATTACCTATCTCCACAGAGATGTGAAAATATATGGGCAACTATTTTTGGAGGGGAAAAAAAGACAAACCACATTTGAAGTGAAGCTCACATTTATTTAATTAAACAAAAATAAAATAAACTGCATAGAAACATTTTTAAAGTCCATGGAGACCATGACTTTGTTTTAAGGCTGCTAGTAGCTGATACATCGTCTCCTTGCTACATCCTTCAGCCTTCTCCATGGACCACAAAGATACATTCAGAAGCCTCCATTTGAAAAAACACAAGTTCTAATATTTTAGCTTTCCAAATAAAGCTTGTGCCTCACCTTTCTCATATCACTCTGCAACCCAACAGCAATAGTTGGAGTGATCCAATTTTAAAAATTAATAGCTTTCAGTTGAAAAAATAAGTTGGCCAATCCAGCAATAATACATAGAAGGGGCTCTATAAGAATATGTTTTCTTCTAATAAATCTGATCTGGTTTGGCAGGATGTGAACTACTAAAAATTCAACTTGCTTTAAAAAATAGTGTATTTTCCAAAGCTAGGCAGAATTTTAAATAGTTCTGCAAATAAATGAATTGTTTAAAAAATGGGAGAAAATGGATTTATGTTAAGACTAATCAATGGAAGATTTGGTCCACAGAGTTTCTATGCTGATTTTTTAATTTTTATTTTGGTCTTGGACCAACCACAGGGTTGAGGCACAGAAAAATACTGGAAATGCTTTTTTCAAGAAAATAATCCCCAAGGTATGTCATACTACTGCTACTTTAAAAAGGAGGGGGGATTAGCACTATATAAACAGATATGTAATAGGTGAGGCACAATACAAAAAATATCACATACAACGTAGGAAAAGCCATCAGTTTGGATGAATAAACACACATTACATAGCCTACTTAAGAAATCTATAAGCCTACAAAAAGAACTTAGAGGCTTGATGACTTAAAGAATACCACACCCTACTATGTACACTAAACATTCAGTGACCAAAGCTCTGAAGAAAGGAACTTCCCACAAAGTAAAAAAAAATCAACCTGAGTTTGTAAATTGATACAATCATTGAAGTGGTCTAAGACCATGCAGATACACAAACATTTTTAAAAACTTTTCCTGAAGAACCATTAGTTGAGGATGATGGTGGTGTGTGGGGAGGGGGAAATTGACCTAATGTTTGTCATGCTGTAAAACCACTTAAAGGAATCCCAAAAAATATTTTCCATTCAAACTCAACTAATTGCAAATAGTTTTCTGTGCCCATTTCTCCAACTCCACTTATAAGCAAGTGTGCTTTCATTGCATCTTTGCAGCATGTGGGAAGCAATGGATGAAATAACCCAATTTAAGCTGATTTGGGTGAGGATCTTTTATCTCTGCCTAAATAAGCTGCTATGTGATAATTTGTAAAACAAATAAATCAATGTAAGAACCCTAACTCTCCTTTCACTGTGTGTTAATATAGGAGAATATTATTATTTCTCTTCATAGACTCAACTGCTTTGGACAATTAACCAGGCATTTCCAGATCTCCAGAAGATGGCTTTTCTATCAATTTGCTATAAATGCAGTGTATTTCTTTTTGTCAGAGAGAACCCTACAACCTACAGTGATTCTGTAACTAGAGTTAATTCATTATGCCAACCAGCTAAGCTAAGTATTGAAATAGAGATAGAGTTGTTCTATAAAGAGAATAAAGAGATAAATAAAGAGATAAAGTCATAGAGAAAGATGATTAATAGATTTGCCTGAGGTGTCCATTTTTAGTTCAGATAGCCTAATATTTAAAGAAAACAGCCAGGATGTTCTTGCTCTTTGGAACAGGAACTAAAAAAGGCTACCTGGCTTTCAGGTGGTTTTCTTGCCATGCTGAATACCCAATTTCTCCTCTGATGTCTGGAAGCTAACTTTGAGGTAGATGCTGTGCTTATAAAATTAACAGTGAGGTAGGAATTTAAAACATGTTTATGCAAGTATCCTGTACCACAGCAAACTGGGCTTGCTGACTTCCCAAAGACTGAAGGACTATAAACAGTGTTATCTTAAGTATCAATATTTACTTTTTACACAGCTAAAAACTGTCTGGAGGTAGGGTGAGGTGTCTAAATTTTCTTTTTTAAAAAACCCATTACCTTTTGGCACCACAGTTATGAGTATGACCATTTAAGAAAAAAGACCACCACATAAATGCTTGGGAAATTATTTTGAACCAGAATAAAATATAAGAATCTCCTAATCTTCAAAAGAAATCAGAGATGTGGATAAAAAGAAACTGATTTTTTTCTTCAATAAATTAATTTTGAACTTAATTATTTAAAAGTGACCGGATCAAATCATGCAATGCCAGCTGGATGCTGTAAAGAAGTACCTTCTTTAGTATCATTAATCTTAGGCAAAGTACCATTTATAGGGTTATCAAATGCCATTAAAGTTTCCCCAAAATTTATTTAAGAATACACTGTTCAGTTTACTATAGAAGTACCTGCTATTTAGTAGCACTTCTTGACTTCTATTAGGTTTTCAAGAAAAAAAAATTATTAGAAAACTAAATAACCTAACAGCTCATTGATTAGCCAAATTCAAATATTTATAGCACAACCAGCCTCCAAATGTAGGTTAAACTTTATAAATAACAAATATTTTGTAAATGAGATGTATTAGTTTAGTAAGCAAAAGCTGAAGATTTTACAAGCTGTTTTC